TGTTCTCTGATTATATCTCAAGAGATGTTTTTTTTATTTGAGAATTTAACATGAATATTTACGGAACATTGAATATATGCCCGATGTTGAGATTTTAAAAAATATTTAGTTTTCTTTTTCAATTCAATTTCAATTTTTGTTACAATTGTAATAGTTCAATTAAATGGGCCTTTAGTTCGCAATTTTGGTCAACTTACCTCAATTTTTGATATAAGTTAATTTGAGGTGTGTAATAACAATAAGTGATAGTAATTTTTTTTTCAACCCCCGGCCAGGGGTGAAAAAAGATAAAATAAAAGGGTTTTTCAAGATAACTCAAATGGGGTAGGAGCTAGAAGAAAAAGTTTCTTATAAAAGTTGCAGAGCATAAAATTCTATATAAAAATGGTCCATTGACTTTTTCTTGTACTATTAAAATTAACAGCGTTAGGGAGAGTAGAAGTTAAGGGAGGATTTCAGAAATTTAAAAAATCATAAACAGAAAAATGAATGAATATTATAATTTTTTTTTAATCTACTCTAAAAAATGTAAACTTTCTTTTCAGAGAAATATATATGATTTAAATTTTTAATAAAAAAGTTATAACAATTTAAATTTTTTAATCGTCAATTTTTATGATTTAACACTTAAATAATTTTTTTTCTGTGTCATTCGATTGATTATTTAAATAATGAAAAGATGCTATCGAAATTTTGTTTTGCGGCAAAGATAAAAAATCACGTTCGCTTTATGAAATAGTAATAACTTTTTACTTAGAAATTAAAAAATATATCTATTTCTCTGAAAAGATAGTTTGCATTTTTTAGAGTAGATTGAAAAAAAAAATTATAAAATTCATTTGTTTTTCTGTTACCAAGAGGGAAATTACAAAGAAAGATAAGGNAATTTTATTTTAATCTACTCTAAAAAATGTAAACTTTCTTTTCAGAGAAATATATATGTTTTTAAATTTTTAATAAAAAAGTTATAACAATTTAAATTTTTTAATCGTCAATTTTTATGATTTAACACTTAAATAGTTTTTTTTCTATGTCATTCGATTGATTATTTAAATAATGAAAAGTTGCTATCGAAATCTTGTTTTGCGGCAAAGATAAAAAATCACGTTCGTTTTATGAAATAGTAATAACTTTTTACTTAGAAATTAAAAAATATATCTATTTCTCTGAAAAGATAGTTTGCATTTTTTAGAGTAGATTGAAAAAAAAAATTATAAAATTCATTTGTTTTTCTGTTACCAAGAGGGAAATTACAAAGAAAGATAAGGGAGAACAGACAAATTCGAAAAACGTCATTAGTGTTATGACATAAAATATGAGTAATTGCTATTAAAGATGCTTATTTTCAAAGATGCAAACGCTATACGTAGTAGTGCCCTGTTTGGTTATGATGACCTCGAGTTTTATTTTATATGATTTAAAAAGCGAGCACCGTAAACCAAAGTCAAAGGCTGAAAATTTTCTCATCTTTTCTCAAAAATTTCGTTATGCAAGGCATACAAATTCTATGGAAAGAAAATTAAAAAAATCCTTCAAAACGTGCAAAAATATTTATACAATCCCATTTAAAAAATATCAATGACGTCACCACTCAACTATAAGAGGGCCACTCCTATGAATCTCGATTAATATACGACACATATCAAAAATCTCTATATATTTTTTGTTGCATCTTTTGAGGCCTTTATGATCGTAAAAACAAATTTGAGATCCATGCCAACTTTGTGAGTAATTAGAAAAAAACCGGAAAAGTACCAAAAATTTAGGACCGTCTAACTTTTTTGTTTTAAGAGAGAGAAAACTTATTTTAATAAAATTTGATGGCAAAATTGATATATTTCACCTAGTGGAAACAGATTTTTAGAATATCGTGTGGTCGTCCTGTGGTTACAAAAAATTGCTTGATTTTTCCTCTTTCATGCTATATATTATATGTTGCCTGCATCTTTTATATTTATTACATTTTTTACAATTTTGGTATAAAAAATGTAAACATTTTTGTGTTAACGTAGAAATTGTTATAGATACGTGTCAATTACAAAAAATTTAATAAATATAATGTACTTCTTTTAAACAAAATACAGATTTTCTTTTCATATTAATATAATATTGATTTTTTACTTTAGAGAAACCTGAGCCTTCAACATTGTTTTTGCACAAAGTAGCTTACGCTAAATGTATAGCACGCTATGAAAACAAATGTGTTATCCCAGTAATGCCATTATTTAACAAATGGTTTATTGTTATAGTTTACACATAAAAGTTGTTACAGTTAACTGTGATTTGAAAAACTATAATTTTGAATAATAATCATATTTTCACATATTGAAAGTGTAATATGTTTGTATTGTACTATCAATGCAATTTCAATTCTCTTCAAGCACTTGCGTAATGTAGAAAACCTTCGCTAATAAAATCAGTTGTTAATAAAATAGGTAATGTTAACAGAATTTTAAATTATGTAAATAGGAAAAATGAGCAAAACAGTGAGAGATTGAAGTGAACTACAATTTAGGGAAGGATAGTACAAGAAGGGTATTACGAAAAATGGTTTCCAATGTTAAGTATAATGTTGAAAAAGTGCAACTCTTGAGCTTGAGGGAGGAAGATAAACCGAGAAGAGTAAGGTTCTGTAGGTGGTGACAAGAAAGAGAGAAGGAATATCCTTTTATATTCAAAAGAATTGTCTGATCAGATGTGTCTAATTTTTGTAACAATAGATAGAATGTAATAATAGATAGAATGTAGGAACATTTATTTCAAATGGACTGCATTTCAACAGAGGTTTTCAATAAACGTTTGGGTTAGAATTCTTGATACTAAAATCATAAGACCTTGCTTCTATGATGGTAAACTGATGAGTGCCAGACATTGCAGACTCTTTGCTTAAAGGAAGTACATTATATTCATTAAATTTTTTGTAGATGGCCTGTATAAAACAATTTTTACATTAACGTACATTTTTTATACAAAATTGTACAAATGTAATAAATAAAAAAGATACAGGCGACATGTAGTATATCGCTTGAAAGAGGAAAAAACAAGCAATTTTTTCTAGCCTCAGCCTGCATCGATGACAATTTTTTTTGTCCGCGTAAAGGGCGCAGCAAATTACATACGATATTTTAAAAATCTGTGGACACTAGGTGAAAGGTCAATTTTGCCAGGAAATTCTATTAAAATAAGTTTTCTTTATCTCTTAAAATAAGAAAGGTAGACGGCCCTAAACTTTGGGTCCTTTTCCAGTTTTTTATGATTACTCATAAAGTTGGCCATGGATCTCAAATTTGTTTTTACGAGCTTCAAGGACTCAAAAAATGCAATAAAAAACATAAAGATTACATAGGAGTGACCCTCTTATAGTAGACAGCCTGTATATAGCTATATACTTACAGGGTGTTTTCAAAAATGAGTAACGGAATTATATCTCGGGGCCTTTATATCATAAATATCATTATTAATGGGAATAATTATTTGAAAAAAAAAAGAAAAAATATTGGCAACTTGTAAAAATTAATTCAATAATATTTCCATTTAAACTTGAATCTCGAGAAATGTTATTCATAAAAAAAGCTAAATATGAAGATAACGAACTTCATTCTTCTAATTTTTATTACAAATATTCAGTTTCATTTCGGAAAACTTGACGTAACATGAACCTAATTTAACTAAATACGGACGTAATTAATTAAGAAAAATTTGTCATCACAATTTACATTTCCCAAAAATTAATTGAATAATACTTCTACTTAAACAAGAGTATAAATATTAAGATTCGTATATGATATTATAACACAGATGTTGTATGATAGTCTCAAATCGCGTAGGGAGTCCCAGTTTTTGCTTAGTTACACATTAAAATTTATGTCATGTGGATCAATACCGCATGAAAAAGCGTAAACCCTATGTGCTTGTTTTTCAATTGTAAGGAACGGTTGAAAGCTTACGCCTCAATGGCAGTGAAAGACAATGAACCCTAAAGCGGAAAATCCGGTTTAGAGAACTTAATCGGAAACGAGGTCTGCTTTAAAACTTTTTTTAAACAAGGTGGTGCCCTTATGTGAATTGATTGTTCTCGATTAATAGCTTTTTTATACCGAACCTAATAATAGAAGTTTAAATAAATAATCACAATGAAACTAAAGATGAAGATAAAAACCGATGAAATGAATTTAAAACTATTGTTCCAGAATATTTTACAAACCCAGTTACATTTTGAGAGAGCTTAACCAAATACTGTCCTGCACTAACATTTTGCAGATAAAATGTTAATTCTTCTATCACAACTGGCTTCAAAATACCAAAATTTATCAAATGTTTTACTGTTCATTTAAATAAATACAAATATGTATTTAAAGTTGTGGTTTTATCGAGCCAAGAAAGGATGTATTAGTTAGTCAGGGAAAATGGTTATGTAATAGGCGATAAGGGTATGGATTATTTTAAATTTGTGTAATGTAGTGATGGATTTTAAAGGAGGAGTTAATGAAGGAAATATACATGATGAAAAAGACATAAATAAATATATTCAAGTATGGCTTTAAAGCAAGGTAAAGTCCTTGAACGATAATTGGAGAAAACTGCCCTTTGTTGTAAAATTTTAGCTAAGAACATAGAAATAATCATCGACCGCTTGCGACGTCCTCCATTACACCTTTAGGCGTCTATGGGTCGCCATTATCCACGCAAAATTATTTAAAAGAATAAAGGGCGCTCAAGGGCACCGAGCTTTAAACTGCGGTAATTTTCCAGGACAAAAGATCCGAATCTAATCCACCCCTAAATAGAACTAAATCGTTACGTAACCAAAAAGAGGTGATATGTAAATGCCAAAAGGTCAAACGGGTTAGAAGGACTGAGGTCTTGGGTAACGGTTTAGGTTTTGAGGAAGTTCTTTTCCTCCAAATGATGATCGAGTGATGGGAGTTATGGAAAAGATGCGGTGTCTAAGTGGAGGCGAAAAGGTGATATTTAAGGAGGTAACACAGAAAGATGCTCACCCCAGCTAGCTCCTGTCCTTCCTAGGAACTGCTTGGTCTCCGAATTCCACAGAAATTGGCGGAAGCTCTCCCATTTTCCAAGTACGGGTGGCCGAGTGTAGAACTCGTTAACTTTCTTATCCGCCATCGCAGTATGTGTGCAACCCACTACCCTTTACGTAAGAAGGGATGGAGAACGGTCGCTCCCTGGGTTGCGGATCGTGGACTTGCGCAGCGTCGGGGCCGGCTTCGATCGTCGCTCTGAAACGCTGCAACGCGCGTATTATAGCCGGACGCCGACGCCATCTTGCACCGGAGTGGCACAGCATCCCGGAACGGCAGGAATCGTTCGCGAAAATGGCACACTTTCGGAAGCTGCGGGAGGTGGTGGCGATTGATTGACCGAGTTGCCGTCATCGCAATCAATCGCGTTTCGGAAACAGTGGCGGCTTATAAATTGCCGTCACAGATTGTTATACGGGGCTCGTAGTAGACTGCTGTGTGTCCCACAAAAAAAATATTACATTATCATCAAATTAAAAATGTATGGACTGAGAGGAAGAATGTTTGATTTTCTAAATAGTTACTTAAAAAATAGAAAACACAGATGACACAATAAGTTACGTTGGAGAAGTTAAATATGAAGTCCCACTGTGCTAGGCCCACTATTATTTTCTTTATATACATGGGACCCTTATAAATACAGTTTTGTTAAGAAAAAATCAAAAAGGGCAGTTCGAAAATGATTTAAAAATACACTTCTGCACGGCACTGGAAACTGGTCCACTGTGATAAAAACGGACAAAAACTTTCGCAAGGAAAAAATATGTAAATAGAATGTTATCGCACCTATTTTATATCGGTAAATTCAACTGCTTTTGCTTTTATTAAGTAATAAAATTAATTTGTTTTTAAATAAAAAAATCATTTGCCATACCCGATGTTACAACAATTGTTCAAAATTTTATCCACCAACGTGTAAACAGTAAACACATTTGGGTCCCTCTTATTCAGTTTCTACGAACTAACACAAATGTTGTCTTGCTTCACCATAACACAAATGCTTCACCATAAATTAAAACGATATCCATCAACTCCGAATTGCTATACACGCAAACCATTTTTGAAGCTAACTACCCGTTTATGACACTAACTACTAAAAAAACTATTGTAAACACCACAGATAACAGGTAAATACTATCGTAACGACGATTGCAAAATCCGATTTCAGTATTCGGAGTCGCTGAAGCCACGTGGCTCTCCATGTGTATTGCGAATGACGCTAGAGACTACAGTTGTCCAGCTATGTAGTAGTTGAATGTACTATAACTTCAATAATTTTTTTCTCGGAAACTATAAGGATTTTACAAAAATTTTGTTTACGATATTGACTCCATTTCTCATGCCGCATCTATTCCCAAATTTTTTTGGATAAGTTGTGAATCACCCTGTATAAATAATTTATTATCATTAAATAGTAAAGGTAAGATGATCAGTTTTGCTGACGATACAGTGATATTATTTGAGACATAATCTTGGAATGAACAAGGAAATCGCTGAAAGGGAATTTTGAATCATAAAGAAATGGTTTTAATATAATACTCTCATATTAAACTGTAATTAAACATCCTGTATATCTTTTAGTTCCTATGCTACTTACCTACCTACCTACTTTGGGATCCTTAAATATCGACACCTAGACAGTTATTTAGGAAGCGCAGTCAGCAAAATATCTTGGTATTCACATTAACCAACATTTTAGGTGGGACCTACAAATAAATAGCTTAATAAAAAAAATTAGAGGTTTCTTACAAAAATTTAAATATTTCATAAATATATTACCAGTAAAAAGTTTGGAGACTCTATACTACTCGTTGATTCAGTCGCATCTCATATACGGAAAAATGGGTTGGGGGGGAGTACAAGATTGTTACCTAAAAAATTTGAATGTAGTTCAAAAATGGATACTTAAAATAATTTATGGAAAAGAGAGAACGTATATTATTATTATTTACATTATAAGTGTGACTAAACTATTTAAAATTCAGACGAATTAGACACAGTTATAGTTTTGTGATCATGCTAGAAAATGCTTAACAAGTGAATTTTTAGATTAGTTCGTGTTTTGACCCTAACATCAAGACTATCCTCCCCTAGAAAGTGGATTTCAAGATTTCAAACCAATTTGAGTAGGCAGTGATTGGAAAAACATTGGAATTTATGATCTCGGTGCACTATAATTCTATAACCCCATTATTTGAACGACAGAGTTATGGGGTTATTGAGTTATAGAAGCCTGTCAACTCATAGTCATATACTTTCGGAGCCCTGATGAAATTCATTATGGTGATACGGGGTTATGAAGCTACAGGGCTACGAGGCTATGGTGCAATGAGATCAAGAATTCGAATGTTTTCCAATCGCCGACTCGAGTCAATTTGAAATCTTGAAAACCCATTTCTGCGGAGGAAATAGGTAATGAAGCACTTACGTAAAACAATTCGAGGTAGTTTGGTAATTGGTCTGAGGAAGAGAAAACAACAACCCTAATCTGAAATGAGGCTGTGGAGGTTTTAAGAACTATAACTGATGGAAAGATCATCAAATATTGAAAGTGCTTTAGACGTGAAATATAGTGAAACATATCTACAATATCCACAATTTGTTGTTAATGGAAATGGGTAGGAACATGAACAAGAATATTGCACAAGTCATCAGGATACCTAAGGATGTATATACATACTTGCCAGATAAGCCGACCTTAGACCAAGATCCCTTCGTTGCGCTTACCGTGTATATAGAGTATATTCAACCAATGCATTTACAATTTGTGGCAGATATATCGCAAATGGTTAAAATTACCCCTAAAAAGTTATAAAAAAATCTAGAAACACTTTCAACATTTGTAAAAAAATTTTATAAGTAAGTTAGAGATCAGGTAAGAGAAAATACAAGCTGAAAAATCACGAAAGAACAATCTTAATAAAATTTTGAAATCTGAATTAAATGAGGCAAAAGAACGGGACAATTTGTTTGCCGAAAAATGAACATGTAAGACGCAAGACCCAGTTGATTGTTACAACAAAATCCTTGCTAAAGTATAGATAAAAGATCCAGAATTTGACCTCATTGCTCAATAAAACTTACTGGGCATTATAAAATGTCTTAATTGTGTAGAATTGCTTGCTAAAAATAATATAGGAAAGTTTTAGTAGCAACGAAAAGATCTATAAAACTGTATTGCCCCAAAAAAGAGTTCTAAAAATTCTTTAAGCATTTCATAGTGGGTTCTTTGGCCTGAATGTTGTTTTGATGCAGAAAATGGTCCCGGCAATGTGATACATGTGCCTCAATTAAAAAAAACATACTGATAGAGGATGCATCTGAGCGGGATGATGTATTCTAACAGGGCGACATTGTTACGGAAACTCACCTGCTTTAATATACGGGGTGTTCAAAAAGTTTGGAAACACCCACCCCTCTTTCTCATAAAATACTGCTCAAACAAAGAAATGATTAGGACAAAAGTTGCAGGATTTTGAGTGAGCAATCCAACGGTGACCTTGACCTTGACCATGCCCTTCAAGGTCATTTAGAGGTCAACCTGAAAATTTTAAACGGAACCGTATATTTTTGACCCCGGAAATGGAAAAAAATGGATATGGAAACGTTCGGTTATGGCCTTGACCTTCAAGGTCATTTAGAGGTCAAGTTAAAAATTTTATATGGAACCGTATATTTTTTTTGCCGTTATTTTTTTTTCGTAAGAGCATTATTAAACTTAAGTTCTTTGCTTACGTTTGACGTTACAGTTACCCTTAGGTCATGGTCAAAGACATGGTATAGGTCATTTTTGAATTTTACGCTCACTCAATTTCCGCGGTCAAGAATAACGGGTCATTTATTAAAAAATCAACTTGACCTGTAAACGACCTTGAAGGTCATGGTCAAGGTCATAACCGAACGCAAAAATTTCAATTTTTTCCATTTTCGGGGTGAAAAAATACGGTGCCATTTAAAATTTTCAGGTTGACCTCTAAATGACCTTGAAGGTCATGGTCAAGGTCACCATTGGATTGCTCACTCAAAACCCTGCAACTTTTGTCCTAATCATTTTTTTGTTTGAGCAGTATTTTCTGAGATAAAGGGGGAGTTCCAAACTTTTTGAGTACCCGGTATGTGGTTAGAAAAAATAACATTTGAAATTCGAGATATTTTGTTCACTTACGAAGAAACAACATTTTCATCTATTATGGCAATATAAACTATTAAACTTTATTTAAAGTCAAAATATATCAAAAATACATATCTGAGAATTTTCTGAAAGAGATAGAAGCTGAAACTAGTAATTTAATTATTTTTATAATTTGTTTCATATATTTTTTTTATCTGAAGCTAACTTAAAGGTGAACTGTCTACATTTAAAGGAATCGAATTGGAAAAGACAGACCGCATAATAATTTCATGTGTCGGTCATAAAACTATATAAAAAATATTTCGAACCAAAAATGTTTAAAGATATTTTAAAAGAATCGAATAATATAATTATTTTTCATAAAGAACGATAAACAGTTGAAGTAGGAAACCTTGTATTGTCCATAGCTGTACCACCGACCATAGCTCATGTGTTTCTCATAATTTTAATATGACATGACTTAAGGATATTAAAAATCTAACTTCGATTACTTTGTCAATAAAACACCGCACTCGTTTGAATAATTTATTAAAAACTTACATACTGAAATGTAAATAACAGAAACAAGGTTACTACCTATTTTAAAATTAATATATACACTTAAAGTCACTAAGAACACAATAAAAAAAAATAATATAAATACAACAAAAAAGATGCTGCACAAAAATAAAATATGATGTACCTACAATAACTCTTAGTTGTACGTGGACAGTTGCTACACAGTTAAATTCTATGAAAGTATAAAAATACGTAATTCATTCGAATTTTTGTGGAAGACGAATTCCGTTTAAAAATATTTTTAAAAGAAATGATGATGGTGATGCCATTTTCGAAGGGTTCTAGTAACCATTTGCTATCATTTAATCAATCAATAGTTCAAAGTGTACAGATCCCGTTCTTTCCAGTCTGCTGTATTTGATGTTTTTCGCCCAAGCCCTACATTCGATGTTGATGATAATTCCAGCTGAAACAGGAGTTAAATGATTGATGTGTGCATGGGTATTTATGAAGTCAAAATTTTACGTTAATGATATTTTTTATTTTACGTTTAATGATATTATAGGAAAATTTTATATTAATTCTGAATCACTAACATCTAGATATACTAATCTTTAAGTAAGAGAACCTTTAATGATATTATAGGAAACAACTACTCTGCGGACTAAAGCCCCGTCCGGCATTTTTCACCTTCACCTAATTAATAATTACCGGAAATGATAACAACAATGCAATTGATCCCAAATATCATTAATGAAAAAACACACATGTGAGATTCTTTAATCATTAAATAACGTAAACTCTCGTAAAGAAGAGCAAAAAATAATATCATATATGGAAATTACTCGAGAAAAAGTATTTTTTACGGTATTTTTTAGCAACCTGTATTTCAAAAACTACCTATACTTAAATATAATTGAATATAACAGCGAAAAAATGTTGCTCTCGTCTTTCTGTTTGTTTTGATGAGAACAATTAGCTCTGAAAATTTGTCGCAACATCCCTATAACACCCTGTATGACACTATCATTATTTCAAAAATTTGTATATTTGTAAATTGGGAAAAGTAGAATTAATACTTACACACAGGTCTCTCGAATTTGACGGCAACCAAGGGGCTCAAATATCCTTCTGAGTTTAAGTAAGGGAAGTAGTATCCAGGAAAACCTTGGATATCTTTAGGGTAGTAAGTTACTGGGCCCAGGTATTCTTTGTCGGCTGGATTTTCACCGTCACATGACACCCAGACGTTCTGCCTCTGAAAATTGAAATCAATTAGCCTTGAGCCATAAGACTGATTATTACCATATCCAATTCACTTATTCATACTTGAGAGATATTATTGCATTTAACTGAGAGACGTATGAAGACAATCTACAAACTACTGTTGCCAATGGCCAATGCAGTCAGTTTGGCATTTGGCACATGTCAAAAATGTTAATTTGCAACTTTTCAAAGTTTATAAACACTTCCCAAAAGTTATTGCTTTTTTGAAATATTCTACTCATATTACTTTGCAGCCATCAACAGCCGGATTGACTCAGACCGCTATAAGTAGGAAATAATTGATTTTCGGACCCAAGTACTGTGTCAGTAACACAAAACCCACAACTTACTACAATTTCAGCCAATTTGACCGAGCCCACATTTTCATAAAAACCGTGCGAGGTCCTTTATAGTTACCATATAAAATCAACAGTAAAAACATTTAATCAGTCGGATACTTATCAGTTGGACATGTCCTGTAATACCTGTTTCAAAGTCTCTATTGTTACTTAAGAACCGTATACTATTTTTCACATGGGTGAAGTATTTTATTTAAAAATATACCAAATAATTTTTATTTTAAAAGTTTGTCTAGTACGATACTTATTCAGTTGATAATAATCAGTGCAATTAGATGCTGCAGCTATGAAATCTGGAATGGAATCTACACCTCAACAAAGACGGGTAGCTTCTCAGTATTAAGCTTGTATCAGACAATGCAATTTAGTTGCAGTGACAAAATTGTGGGAATTTTGTTGCGGGGATAAAATTGCATGCTTATTATCACACAGTGGGACATAATTGCTGCAATTTGCTTAGTTTGCAGTAGTGTTACCAACTATGCATTATTTAACATGTAAAATTTCTTATATGTATCTTGTAAACAATTATTTTTTATTCAAGCAAAACATTGCAATGGTTTAAAGTAAATGGCTGTATAGCTTTAATAGTGGCTTCAACGGCATTACAAACAACAACCATGATCAACGGCCAACAACAAATAGGTTGGTAATAAACAAATCTACATAAAAGTAACTAGAATTCATGCAATTTTGTTGCACGGAATAGAGCATGTTCTAATTCATGCAATTCAGTTGCAGGAACAGAATTACATAGTCTTATAAGAAAAAATTCATGGATTCTATCGCGGCAACCAAATCCCTGTAACAAAATTGCATTGCCTGATACAGGCTTTAGCCAGTATTATATAAGAAAGATAGGACATTATGACATTTCGAGTTGCAAGATTATTTTGGAATTACGGTTTTATAATAATTGATTAAACTGATTATGTTAGATCTATAGAACTTGCGTGTGTGTGTATTAATGAAGAAATGTTTCTCCATTAATACGGAAAACATAGTAACTACTTATTTCAGAATGAACCGATTATTAAATGCAGACAAAAATAAACCTAATGTAATATGTATGTAATATCAATGAAAAATGGTAGCGCTATACCCGATAATTCAAAAAATTGATAATAATTCATAATAAATACAGCAACTAAAGTTACAATAAAATACAGAAATATAAGTAAGAAACTTATATTTTATTGAGGCATTGAGGGCATTTTTATATTGGTGCATTAATAAAAGTATATTGAGTCAACGCTGTGGCAAAGTTGCTTTATCGCTAGAATATAATTGAGGCAAAATATTTCAAAATAGGTTCGTGTGAGGGCGGTGTGGTCGGCGAACGATATCAATGTGAACGTAATGTAGCAAATTTGGTGTAATATCAAGACAAGCTTGTCTTATCCTATTTATCATATCGTCACGTGGTGGCTTTCTATATATCCTGTCTTTTACAAACCCCCACAAAAAAGTCAAGTGGTGCAAAGTCACATGATCTGGATGGCCATGACAGTGACCCACCTCGACCAATTCATCTATTAAGATAAATTTCATCAAGATCGGCTTCTTCTTTTGAGAAATTCATTTCGAATAAGTAACAACAAAACCATATAAACAATATTCATTAAATATGAATAACTTTTTTAATCACAGAAAAATGTTACTTCANAGTTATAAACAAATGAAGTTATTTTTGAGACGATTAATACTATCTAGTGCATAATGCATTATTTCTAAATAAATTAATATTATACTTGATATAAAAATCCTTTTTTCTCTTTCAAGTTTTCATTCGCGTTTGTTATTTTCCTTTACAAAAATTTTCCTAATTTTCTAAAAGAAAATCCCAAAACTTGTGTATAATTTTTTTACACCATACATACTTTTTTGAAATCGTTTAATTCTTTTCTCGATATTTATTTGGCTAAATTGAGCGTAAGAGATTTACAATTACAAGAATAAAACGAAAAATATGTACAGGGTGATTCAGAAAGACCTCCCGTAAATAAACGGGGTTATAGTATGACAAAAAATGAGAATTTTTTGTCTTATGAACTATTTGTCTATCTTCTCTTGATTTGGAGATAGACAAAATAAAATTTTTTAAATAGAATTTTTACGAAAATTTTCAAACGGTGCGAAATATTTTTATGAAATTTGGTAGTCCGGGGTTTTTAAGGGTGCCAAATACGCTAGTCTGATTATTTTTTGTATATTTCATAGAGGGCGCTAGTTATGCTACATTTTTATTACATTTTAAGTTCTATTTTTTTTTAAGGTTAGGTTTTTTACCATTCGGGCTCCAATTTCTAATGTACAATTTTATTTTCTAAAAATAATGTACTCTTGTTAGAACTTCCTAATGTGGACGATTTTCGTGGACGAGAAAAAAGGCTTTTAATTAAATTCTTACAATATTACACTATAAAATAAGTGACTTTTCTTAAAGTAAGCTCGAGCTTTGAGAAAAGTCACTTATTTTATACACCGTCTTTCTTTCTGAAACACCCTGCATTGTATATTTATATAGAATTTTGCTAAATACCTTATTAGAAATTATAAATACATGTGCACATTTTTTACGAAATTTTTTTCGTCATTTTTTGTCGGACTGACGATTTGCGGATATAGTTTTGTCGGACATTACAATTTTTGCTTATAAAAAACACTTTTCTATCGTGTGTTATTTTTATCCGACATGTGGTAATGGATTTATCATACCCTGTGAATATTCCGATTTCCAGCTGTCGGACTGAAAAAACGCGGCTTGAAATCTGTCGGACAACAATACTTTTTGACTGAATTATTTACAATTAATTTTACTAAAAATTACCTATGTGGTAATTGATTTTCAATACCCTGTTATTTCGGCATGTTTCGGCCGGTAGACACGTCAATGTCGGAAGAATTTCTGTCGGACAAATTTAAATCGGCATTTGCAACAAAATTTCCAGTTACTTAAGCTAAAAATAAAAGATGTGGTCTTGACTTTTCAAACCCCGGGAAATTGCCATGTTTTTGGACTGTTCCGAGTGGAAAAGCGGAGGAATCGAGAAAAGTCGCAGAGGAAAAGTGTGGTAGACTCGTCAAAAAGATGCGCCTCAGGAGTTATAAAGTATGTGTTAATCAACTTTCCAGGGGGGGCCTGTACTGTGGACTATTATAGTTACCATATAATATCAACAGTAAAAACATTTAATCAATCGGATACTTATTAGTTGGACATGTCCTGTAATACTTGTTTCAAAGTCTCTATTGTCACTTGAGAACCGTATACTATTTTTCACATGGGTGAAGTATTTTATTTAAAAATATACCAAATAATTTTTATTTTAAAAGTTTGTCTAGTACGATACTTATCAGCTGATAATAATCAGTGCAATTAGATGCTGCAGCTATGAAATCTGGAATGGAATCTACACCTCAACAAAGACGGGTAGCTTCTCAGTATTAAGCTTGTATCAGACAATGCAATTTAGTTGCAGTGACAAAATTGTGGGAATTTTGTTGCGGGGATAAAATTGCATGCTTATTATCACACAGTGGGACATAATTGCTGCAATTTGCTTAGTTTGCAGTAGTGTTACCAACTGTGCATTGTTTAACATGTAAAATTTCTTATATGTATCTTGTAAACAATTATTTTTTATTCAAGCAAAACATTGCAATGGTTTAAAGTAAATGGCTGTATAGCTTTAATAGTGGCTTCAACGGCATTACAAACAACAACCATGATCAACGGCTAACAACAAATAGGTTGGTAATAAACAAATCTACATAAAAGTAACTAGAATTCATGCAATTTTGTTGCACGGAATAGAGCATGTTCTATTTCATGCAATTCGGTTGCAGTAACAGAATTACATAGTCTTATAAGAAAAAATTCATGGATTCTATCGCGGCAACCAAATCCCTGTAACAAAATTGCATTGCCTGATACAGGCTTTAGCCAGTATTATATAAGAAAGATAGGACATTATGACATTTCGAGTTGCAAGATTATTTTGGAATTACGGTTTTATAATAATTGATTAAACTGATTATGTTAGATCTATAGAACTTGCGTGTGTGTGTATTAATGAAGAAATGTTTCTCCATTAATACGGAAAACATAGTAACTACTTATTTCAGAATGAACCGATTATTAAATGCAGACAAAAATGAACCTAATGTAATATGTATGTAATATTAATGAAAAAAGGTAGCGCTATACCCGATAATTCAAAAAATTGATAATAATTCATAATAAATACAGCAACTAAAGTTACAATAAAATACAGAAATATAAGTAAGAAACTTATATTTTATTGAGGCATTGAGGGCATTTTTATATTGGTGCATTAATAAAAGTATATTGAGTCAACGCTGTGGCAAAGTTGATTTATCGCTAGAATATAATTGAGGCAAAATATTTCAAAATAGGTTCGTGTGAGGGCGGTGTGGTCGGCGAACGATATCAATGTGAACGTAATGTAGCAAATTTGGTGTAATATCAAGACAAGCTTGTCTTATCCTATTTATCATATCGTCACGTCCTGTCTTTTACAAATCCCCACAAAAAAAGTCAAGTGGTGCAAAGTCACATGATCTAGATGGCCATGACAGTGACCCACCTCGACCAATTCATCTATTAAGATAAATTTCATCAAGATCAGCTTCTTCTTTTGAGAAATTCATTTCGAATAAGTAACAACAAAACCATATAAACAATATTCATTAAATAAGAATAACTTTTTGAATCACAGAAAAATGTTACTTTAACAGTCAAAGCTAATGATAGGAAAATTTATTGACAGTGACAAACATTTCTTTTGTTTTTATGGTATTTGTTAATAGTGACCACCTCAAAATTTACGGTACAATATGTGTGACAATTGCTTAGATTGTACGTATTTCAAAAAACGACTATATCAGCAACGATCAAGTGTAACGCCGAAAATGTCATTTTTTATATTAAAATATTAATATCTCGGAAACGGCAGATTTTTTACTTATAGTACCTATTACGAAAAAGCATACTTCTATGTAAAATATAAATATCCACTCAAATTCAGGGTGTTCCTTTTAAAAAAATATAACTTCGATCTGCCCTTCGAAAACGAATCACCCTATATAAGTCAAATTATTTTTAAAATGTGTACTTCTTGCCCTCCCACCCGAACCTATTTTGAAATATTTTGCCTCAATTATATTCTAGCGATAAATCAACTTTGCCACAGCGTTGACTCACCCTGTACATCCATAAGACCACAATTACATGCAGTCTTTTTATATTCATTATACTACACCCGTTTAAAACACTTATTTTGGGCGCCAAATTCTAATAATTAATTATTAATTACACAGCCAAAAAAATTTTATTTCATATACTTTTTAACAGAATGATGCTCCGGTATTTTGACCCGCTAAAGACGATGCGATGGAGCCATCAGAAATGCTCCATCACGTCAGGACTAACCTCAAAAAATAGCTTCAAATCAGTGGAAATCCCAATTTTTTGTTAAAATAATTAATTAATAATAAAATAGTAGGTGCATTTTTGCAATTAAAATACACATACAAAATATATTATTCCTGTACCTTTTTCTCTAAAATGGTTTTTGTGGAGTCATTTTTAACCAATTTTAAGTACTATTATTAGAGAAAAAAGTGCAAAAAAAAAAACAATTTTATTTTGACTCCATATGATTACGTCTGTGTGTCTTATATCACTACATAAGGTCATAGATTATTTCTAGACATTTAAAAACCCATATGCAAACTGCCCATTCATAAGGTGAATATTATATTTTTTATTCATTACCTATAATATCCTCGTACATACCTCTCTTGTATTGTTTATAGATCTAATGTGATTTATTAGAGATTCGGGCATTTCTGGGGGTAGATTAAAAGGGTCGTCATAATATTCGGGGGTCCAGCCGTAAATTTTATTCAGTTTGATAAAGATGCATGGGGAGTTCTTGTGGTAGTTGAAGTGCTGATCCTTATTACACTCGCCCCAATCCCTCACATTCACCTCACAGACTTCTCCCATTGACGGGTAATCAGAATGCGAACACGGTTTCGTTTGGCCGTTGCCCTTTGCTATTTTGCTGGGGAAATAATACTCTGAAATGAAAAGAAAATATGCAAATCGCATGCATAAAATGTTCTCATAATAATACAAAAGAAAGCCGTCGAATATTCTTTGAGTCTTCGTTAGTTATATTAGCAACCTTTTTGAAATTTCTTTTGTAGAATTTGTCAAAGAAAATTCGGTGACAGAAAACCTGTTTTATATTTAACTGTTTTTGAACCCATTTATTAATAAAGAATTTCTTTTCAACTGACCAAAGTCTATTGGTACATGTAAGACAGAATTTGTGTCCTAGCTTCAACAAATTGGCCGCGAAGTTGTAGACAACTGAACAGTGCTGTATTTGTTGACCAATTTTGAGGATTTTTCGTGACGTCCAATATATATATACGCCCAGAAAACTCTTTCGGCGACATTTTTATTTTGTAACATTTCTTCAACTAGAACATTCAAACACAACGTCATGGGGATTTGTACATTTTAATTATACAAATTATACAGGGTGTAATTATGTTACCCAGAATACTAATCTGATTTTTTTTTAGATCAAATAAATAGTCCAAGTTTCGTTTTGCAGCTCCTGAGTTCGATTTTATGTGATTTTAAAGTAACTGTATGAAACTAGGGGAGTGGCAGAGAACGAAACTACATTGAACAATATTTTTTTAACAATAGATCACTTTTGCATGGCTTTGTAGCATGCTATTTTAGTACTAAAGTGATTTTACTACAAAAAATTCGAGTGTTTTTAAAATTATATTTTAGAAAAGCGTTACTAATTTATATTTTAAACTATTTTTTTTGCTGTTTTATAAAATGTACCTTTGACACTGACCTAGTTTATCCAACCTACATAATATCAATCCTCCTGATGAGATATGGCAACAAGGCGTTAAGTTGACAAAAAAAACAAACGGTCAACGTTATTTCGGCGAAACAAGAATGGCCTAATATGCAGTTGTTTCACGTTTATTTTAGTTTTCAGTTAACTCCGTCTCGTAGAGTTTGTAATACGGTTTTTGTCTTTATTGTAATCGATATAGTGTTGTGTTTTACATTTCGGGAATAGAAAACAAAAAAATAAATTAATCATCGTATACTTATGGTTTTATTATTTTTCATAATATTCTCAATGAAGATCAATACACCTTTGCATGCGCTTGAACCAATTTTCGAAACACTTTTTCCAAAACATAAATTTTGAACGCATCAACCGCTTCTTGTAGCGTCGAAAATGTTGACCTCACAATTTATTTATGATGTGCGGGAATAAAACAGTCATTGGGTGCCAAATCAGGGCTGTACGGCGGATGACTTATCAATTCGACTTTTTCGGTTCTCAAAAAGTTTTTTGCTCGAGACGATGTGTAAGACTTCGCATTATTCTGGTGGAGAAATATGCGTCTTCGGCCGTTGGTTTCCCTTATTTTTCCGAAGACTTTCGCAAACAAATAGTTGTATTCCATTCAGAATTGATCGTTCGACGTTGCACTAAGGGTAAAGTTTTCTAAAAAAACAAGCGACCGTTTGCCATTTTGTTGGATTTGGCTCATCTTGGAAGACCCATACAGTGGAGTACTCTTTACTTCAGGGCTCATATGCATGTAGCCATGATTCGTCACCTGACACGATGTCATAGACGTATTTTAAAGCACCGCGATCGTATTTTTTGAGCATTTCTTTCGACCAATCGAGACGAGCCATTTGTTGTGTGTTTGTCAAATTATGTAGGATCCAACGCGAACAAATCCTTTTGGAGGTAAAATGTTCATGCAATATTGAATGTATTCTGATCCCACTAATGCCCAAGAATGCTTCAATCTGTCGATAAGTCGCATGACGGTCTTGTAATATCGGTTCACGCACAGCATTAATGTTTTCTGCAACAACAACCGATTTTGGACGAGCTTCACGAAATTCGCAAGTGAGAGAACCACCGTCAAGATTGAATTCCATATACCACCGAAATACAGAGGTTTTCAATGGTGCTTTATCGCCAGAAGTCGAATTAAATTCATCGGGACACTGTGGTTGAGATAATCCACGTCGGAAGTTGTACAAAATAATCGCACGGAAATGTTTACGAGTTAATTCCATTTTCTGGGCTAGATTAATTTTTCAAGTCATTGTAAACAACACAAATAGCGCATATACGTCAAAATGGTATGAGTAAATACGAATATACCGACAAAAAGTCGAACTTTACGATAGAAACTGTTGCGGCTTCACCGCAAAAATTGTTACTACAATTACATTTCATTTTAAAATATATAAAATAAATTTTCTTTTCTCTTTCTTTGTTGCAACAACATTGTTGTTTCTATTTAATTCAATTAATTACGAAAATCTTTTACGTACTGTTTTTTGTTGGAGATGGTTTTGTGTGTGATTCAGTTTATTCGAGAGAAAAGACTCGACCTAGAAACAAGTGCGTGTTTAATTCCTACTCCAACTCCATAATAAGCAGTTTCAAATTCAGGACATCAGAAGGGCCCTTCAAGAACCTAGTGAATTTCAACAATGGTAAGCCATCTCCAACCATTTTATTTGCTTATCTAACCGTTCATACAGTCCACCACTTTTAATAAGCGTGGCTTTATAACAGGGACGTCGCCGTCGGTTGTCAGATGGCAGCACCAGGATCATCCATTCCCGAAATATAAAAGGCCTCGTACATCTAATTTTATTGTGTGTAAAGTTGAATCCGGCGAATTGTATTTGTAGTGTAATAGACGCTTTTAGTGTGACTTAGATGAAAAAACCGTGGAGTGCTATTAAATTAGAGGGTGGATATTGGAGATAGGGGTGAAAATGCACCCCTTTCTGTTTTTTAATTGTAGCTCGAAAACGAAGCAAAATTTCATTATAGTTCATAGGAAAAATTATTTAGAGAATTGAATTTCCCATGGAAATAGCTTAAAAAAATTTAAAAGGAGAATTTTTTGCAAAAAATCGTTAATAAACAATTTGAAAAAAAAAACAAAAAATTCGATATTCTGATTTTTTTTTTACTTTTTTGCCTTTAGTTTTCTTTGGAGTAAAGATAGGTATAGGAATTACTTCATAGAAAAAAAGTAGATAAAATTTCCTTCAAAACAAGAGGCTGTAAAGTATTTTTGGATGAAAATTGACAAATATATGGCCGCACAAACTTTGCCAATTTTTCGATTTTCGTCGCGTTTACCCTTGTACGTTTTAATTCTCATTTTTTGCAAAAAAGGAAGGAAATAAGACGTTCAAGGATTTTCATCACATGACTTGTTCGAAGGGTCATTAAAAATGAAAAAACCGCGGGGTGCTATTAAATTAAAGGGTTGACATTGAAGATAGGGGGTGAAAATGCACTTTTGCAGTTTTTTATACAGGGTGTTA